CCTAGGTAGTTTTAAGAAATAGTCCATATTAATTTATTATACCTAATACTGGCAGTTAAATAAATTAACTTGTTGATCAGTGATCACATGCTTAGATAAAGTAGTAATATAATTTCTATTTAAATAAAATGTAATAGTAGTGTTAATTTAAATTTCATCTTTGATTTTTCTATGTTGGTTTGACTTTAAAATGAGTTCAAATACACTAGATTTCTTACCTACGGAAAGGATAGTTTTATTAATAAATTTAACATGTTTACTAAATTGTACTATCAACTAATATATTTAATTAATTTTTATCACCTAATTGTGGTATATGTATATATTATTAACCCTTACCCACTCATTACTTTGTTTATTCATCGTATAATTCAACAATTAAATACAGTAGGAACTTATTAATGGTTACTTTCTGTTATAATAGGGGAATAAGAAAAAATTTGAGTCATCAAGTTTTTTGAGTTATTGTAACTCGACTATATCAATATTAATAATTTATTGGCCAATKTATACAAAATATATTACTAATGTATTCCAGGTCTTAATGACGTTGGTAGTTAGATAAATTTAAATATGACTAAGAAAAAAAAGAACAATATAAAACTATTAAAACTTTGTCTGGGATCACGGCGAGAAATCAAAATGCTTATTTAGATGTAACATTAACTTTATTAAATTATTTTAAATATACACTGATAAAAATATAGACGTTGAACATACTTTTTCATTAAATAGGTATACTTAAAGTAACATTTGGTACAATTTAGAAATGTTATATAACTATAAATTTTAATTCAGAAAAATAATATATTTTAATTTTTAAATACTTTTTATAGTATTTTTTTTGTATACTATTTTATAATTTTTAAATTTGTTAATGTCCATTTTGTTTAAGTAAGTAATCAACAATTACCTATATTTTATATGGTATTGAATGATTTTATCATCAAACTTAAATATATAGGTATTTTCCATTGCAATTTTTAGATAATTTAGTGCAATTATGTCTGGTCTTTGAGAGGACGCTACACCCGCATGTGTTGTCTCCGTCTTATAAGTGCGTAACATTGCAAAAACTGTTGCGCGCGGGAAAGAACCGATAAAGATATAGTTATAACACTTATAACTAAGAAACAAAATTTTCACCACATAAAAAGGAGAATTTTGTCTGTGCAATATCGTTTTTATTTTTCGATATCACATAAACAAAAAAAAATTCTTATTGTTTTATAAATACATTAATTTTGTGTTTTTTAAGCATGAATAACTTTTTTTGTAGTTCTTATATTGAAAAAAAAAACCAAATATCGCACAGATAAAATTCTCCATGTTATGTGGTGAAAATTTTGTTTCTTAGTTATTACTGTAGCTTTCTCGGTTCTTTCCTGTGTGAAACAGTTTTTGCAATGTGACGCACTTGTGAGACGGAGACAACACATGTGGGTGTAGCATCCTCTTAAGTATGACATTAAAAAATAACTTTTTTTCATGAAAACAAAGGCTTGTAATATTTATATTCATTTTTAAGATACAATGTTATTTGCTTAAATAAATTTATGATTAATGCAAAGTTAATATTATTATCATATATTTTTTCAATAAATAAAAATTTAGATTGTTTAGTCTTATAATATTGCATACATACATTTTGAAAAAGTTACAATATATATATATATATATAAGTTAATATATTTATAAATAACCTAAAAATGTAGCAGTTTAAAATTTGGTATGAATTAATTTTATTTCTATTGGTATTCAAATTATTGTTAATAGCTATTTCTGTATCAATTTTTATTCTCTTGTTAATTATTATTGACATTTCTATCTTTATAAATTTGAAAAATACTAATTAACCATTATTTAATATGTATATTATACAATTTTAGATTCTTTTAGTAATAATGGACCATCCGAGGATTCAAAAATTTCAAAGATTATCAGAAAAATAGTAAATGAGGAAGATACTAGAACACTTATAATGTTATGCAATCAACTTCAAGTATTTATAATAAGCTAGATAGACTAATTATACTTTATAACTAATTTATAATTTTTATTATTCATTTAATCATTGTTTTTTGTAGGAAGTATTTGTTTTGCCTGAGAATAAAAAATATATTAGACGCTCTATTGATAACATAGTTGAACACCTTTATGTATGTTTCCAYTCAACTATAATTTCATATAATGGCAAGTGCACTGTAGCTAAATGTTTGGGAAAATTTGGACATGCTTTACAATATGATTGTAAAAGGTATAAGAAATAAAGTTTGTTTTGAAAATACCAAAATATCTTTTTCTAACCWACTTATATTATTTAAGGTATATTGATTTGATGTTTATTAAGTATAATTCAGAACGTAGTAAAGAAGTTAAAATTTTGATAATGCTGGCTTTCTATGAGGTGAGTTGAAAATAATATTATTTAATAATGACATTTGATTATTATATAATTGTAATGTTTGTTTAAAGTTATCAATGGCTGATCAAAAACGGTCTTATTTGGAAAGTTTGGCATCGGTATGTATTTTATTTGTGTGTTTAATTTTGAATAGTATTTAGATATCAACAAATTTAGGCATCCAGTTATTGATTATTAATAGGGCTTGGAACTTAATGTACTAAAAAACAATATGTGTATACATATGCACTAAAAAAGTGCTAGTATGCAATTATTCTTTTATAACATTATATGGGAATAAACTTGTTTAATATTTACAATATTGCAGTTCTTACTATGGTACCTCAATCTATGTTATGTTATGATTGGTTCTGTAGATTAAATAAATATCTGGTGCATAATTTTAGAAAATTTGTATATGTAATGGT